TTTTCTGGTGCCAGCTCGTGCCGAGCCCTGTCTCCATTTGATTCGGAGAAATCTAGGCCAAAGGATCCAGAACCACCAAAATTCACTCACCTGTACTGGATCAACTACATAAAGTCAAGATAGCGATGTATGCTACAATTGTGTACATGCAGTATTTGAGCACTGAACTATTCGCTAGAGCTGTGGAGCTTAATTTTTTTGCGCTTCTATCTATCATCCTGTTCGAAATATTACTGTCTATGAAAATAAAAAGTTGCTTTTCACACCTTTCTTTTCCACTATTCCGAAATCAGAAAGGTGCAGTAAATGAGAAAAATCATAAAAAGCAGCGAGCAGATGCACGGGCCTACACGCAAAAATTGTGTGGGCTATTAAATGGATGATTCCACTCGACTCATTATAGTAATTGGGTCTTGAATGATTATTTGAACATTCAAATAAAACAGAAATGCAAAGTATTCGAAAAGCCTTAACATTATAGATTTCGCGTAGCATTCAGCCGAAGGTCAAGGAATTTTGATTTTTCATTACCTTTGGAATATCGCCAACTATTCGAAAAATTTTTCGAATGCGTTGCTTATGCCTATTATTTTCTATCTGCTTGAATACCTAAGGGGCTTACCTCATGATGCTCCTACTAACCAAAGTCACATCGTCTCCACGTTCTTCGTGTTCCATCTTGACTTGAACCAGATCACCCATTATTCTGACCTGAAAGCAAGATCTGTGAAAAAAGACGAAAAACGCAGTACACTACCTGAATGTCTTTGGGCGTAAAAAGCCTTGCGTCCAGGCCAACTTCGAAGTGATCTGAATCCTCCAAAACCTTCACGAATTCATCATTTTTCTGAAGAGGCCAATCCCAGACTTTGCTGCGCTGAACGACAATATCTGTGGCAGCCATGGCGGAACGGAGACGAGATGTCGCCTCGCATCTTGACCGCAGCTATTTATAATAGTATGAAAGTGCATCGCACTCTTTGCATGATTGAAGTGAAAAGCTCAATGCAGAAGAATTTGAGAATCTTACCTTGGATATAAACGCATAATAAATCAGTGCTAATGTTTGCGTTGCTATTCACACTTATAACATAAGCCCCTCTAGTCATATGAGCATATGACAGAACTAATTATAGTACATTATCAGCATAAAAGTGATGCTGACGGAGAAATGGCCCAACCTAGCGCTTCCAAATAAGCTGTAATTCATCGGACTCACCTCAAAACGCTTATTCAGTTACATGCTATTATGTGCCGATCGACCATTTGGAAGAGTTAGGATGACTCAAATATGAGGAATTTTTCGAGCTTCAACGAGTATAGAACGTTGAAAAGCAGACTTTAGGAGCAGATTCACAGTGGCTATGGATACTTTGGTTATAAGAAACAAGCAAATTCACCAAAAACCTAAACAAGTGCTTTAGAAATGTGTTCGGTGGAG